AACGTTGTTCATTCGAAATGCGAAAGAAACTATACACACAGAAAAAGAAAAGAAAAACACAAGTCATTCGTATATATATGTCTAAATTTCATTCTGGTATTGTTAATGTCATTGTTGGTTGTTGTAATGTCGGCGCTTTTCCAAATGATTTACTATGAGCATCAACTTTACCTTCATAATGCATTAATATATCTTGATCAAATGGACATGATTCTTGAAACGCTTTTGTTTGATAACAACGTTCCATATATGACCATAATGCACGTAATTCATTAGGTATATCTAAATTTTTATAATATTTTCCAGCTACACGTATATGTTGTAATTTTGGCATAATGTCACAATCAACAAATGTCATTTCATTTCCTGATAAAAAATTTGTTCCTGTTTCTTCAAGATAATCATTTATACGTTTGAATTCTGTTAATAAAGCGCGTAATTTCATTTGTTCATGTGGATCACCTATGGATGATTTTAAATATGGATGAAATTTAATATAAACATTTGAGCAAACATCTTCAGTTTCTTTTAATGAATTCATATTCATAACAGGAAAACGTTTACTTATTTCAGCTTCAATATCACGATTATCAGTTAAAACAAGTTGTGATGTTTTGTCATCTGTTTCATGAAATACAACAACAGGTGGATTTGAATTATATGCTTTTTTAAATTCTTGTTCGGGATTCTTCATATTAACAGGATAGACCTTTTAGTTTAATAAAAGAAAAGAAAAATTATTTGTTTATTAATAAAAATAAATATTTACTGTTAATGCAAGTTCTTTTGCTTCAGATTTAAGATATAAAACCATAAACCATCGTTGACATATTGGATTTGGTGAACGATGAGAAAAATCGATTTCAGATCGCTATTCAAAAACAAAAAGGAGAAATTAAAATCATTTTAGAGAAATAAATAATTACTTACAGTGACAAATAAGGCCACTGACGGTACATGAGGATTGATTGATTCCATTAATGATAAAAACTTATCTACAAAAGATAACCAACCTTTGTTCTTTTTTTCTTTCTTTGATCAGACAAAAGAAAAGACATTCACCAAAGATAAATCCATGAATAAAGAGCAAAAAGGTAGACAGTAAATATCGACTGCATACACGGATTATTATCTCTGTTCCTATTGCTCAACAACACTAACTTACCTGTCGAATGCCACTATATCATTGCTTGAAGGAGAAAAAAAAATATACACTATTGCAAAAAAAAGTGTAAGCATTTGCATTTTTTTGTATTTTTGTATGTTGTTTTTAAAGATTGACTAACTATTACTGTTCTTCTCCTCTTTCTCTCGCTCCCTCTCTCTCTGTTGTCTCGGTCCTTTCTTCAATAGACGATAAAGAAGAAAAAAGCACGTCTCGAACTAATTGACAAACATAACGTTAGAATAGATGTTCGCCTGTTGTGTAATAACCTGTTAATGATGAATGTAAAAATATATTGTCGAGTATTCATAGAGATTCTTTTGTAAGCATCGTTGCACGAACGTACATATAAATTGTTAAACCGAGGATAAATGATATGTAAACATATATTGGCATTATGTTTTTCTCAAAATATATCAACAAGATTAAAAAAAAAGAATCACTAAAGACTAAAGAAACTATTTTGATAAAATTTCGCAGACAAAGAATGAAAATGTTTGCAAACGACCGAGTAACAACACTTTAATGATCGGATGATTCATTTTATGAGCACCGTTTTGTTTTGTTTTTAAGGAGAAAAAACTGATTATATCCAATAAGGAATGACTGAAAAAAAATAGAAGGCGCTAGTTGTTCGTTTGAAATGAACTTGATTGAATTGGCTTTCTTTTCAAGCCGTCAGATTTAATCTGATAAAATAGTATTAATTATTTGAATTCTAAAACCGATATCATCATATGTAAAAGTGAACACTATAATCTTGTTTGTTATCTCGTGATAATTTTATCCAAGTCAAAAGTTATGCATTACATTACATAAAACTGGACCATTCGTTAGTTCTTCGTTCATAATTACAACATCATAGAAAGGATTATTTTCAAAAAAGAAAGTAGAAATAAAACTAAAGATCGAAATGGTTTTTTTTTTACTAAGGATTCCTTCGAAAAAAAAATCTTTTAATCTCTTTTGGTAAAATAAGAAAAATGTCTCTATAATCCCTCTTTTTATAATATGTATTACAGCATTGGTGTTTTTTCTCTCAAATATATTACAAAGAACAAACAATATCAACACTACATCTGGTTCTATTTGTGAATTAGACATGTTTACCATATGTTTAAAATCATCATCGAATTCTTTCTGCACAAGCAGACAAGAAGTTCTGAAAAAGGTGTTTAAAGACTCTATTCACAGCTCGCATTTGAGCGATTCCACGTTCATTTAGAAAATGCAAAAATCAGTTATTTTCATCATAAAAGATGCTTGAAGACATTTAAAAAGACCATGTTTTGCATATGGAAAACGTCAAAACAGTTTTGTCACGTTATGTTTGACATACACCATCCATTAAAAAGTGTTTTCTGAATTAATATAAAAATGCTTAAACGGAAATCACGATTTGAGCTGTTAAACGAGTTTTCAAAAATTCTTGTCTGCTTAAGTTATCATGCTTTCTCTAATCGTTAGTGTTTTGTTGATGTATGTGGCTCTTGTCAAATTTTACAAATTGATTTTGAAAAGCAAAAATTCTAAGTATAAGTTCATTCGAGTTCTACAACAGCCATGATGTTCCAAAACACAATTTTTAGTTCCGTCTTTTGAATTCACCTATAGTTTTTCAAATATGCTCACACATGTGTAATTAATGATAATGATGAGTATCATTTCTTCCTTCGATGAACATTGTATATTGTGGAAATAAATACAATTATATTCATATAAACAAAGCGTCCTAAACAGATTGTGTACATGGGCACAGCCAGGTGACAGAAGTCAATTTATGAATCAAATTTCTATTAATTTTGACGAAACAATAAATTAATAAAACACAACCTTAGACATATAAAATATCATGATTTTTTTTTGCCATATCTCATTAAGTTCCCTGTTTAGAAACGTTTGAATAATATTTATAATTCTATATTTGGTTTTTATGCTTGCATAATGTTATCGTTAATTGCGGAGAGTGCTTACATGATATGGATATCCGGTTTATATACTCATGTTTTTCATGTACCGGTATATAATTTTATTAATTTTGGTAATGAATAACGTATCTACTGCTGGACGTGTCCATTGGTGTAACATTGTCTCCCGAATTTCTTTAGATTACATCTGTATAATTCAATTCTGCACCTCAACAAATGAAGAATCAAGATTTTAGCTATTTATTAATTGTTTTCAGAAAAAAAAGTCAACACAGTCATTTCTTGTTGTTCACTTTCCGATCATTCGATGCTTAATAAATTACAAGTTCTTGCTTAAATGAAAAGAGCATTATGTTAACAAAGGTAAGCAAAATTCATCAAACCACCCATACCGGCTAAAATCTTCAGCTGCATGGAATAGCTTTAATTGTATTTATGTAAAGATAACCAAACAAGAATATTTTCTATGCAATCAATGTAGAAAACTGCGGGGCCATAGTTTTGTGGGTTCGAACCTAACAATTGATTGAACTTTAGGCTTGAATCTTACAGAACACGTAGCTCTGTACATATAACTCATATATGAAAAGAATGAATTGAATGAAAAATTGAATCTTACGGCATCCTCGAATTCAACTAATAAAGACAATTATGAAGAGTTAAGAATAGATATTGACAAAATGTTACCTATCCCAATGGAACTGATAGCAAAACCGACTGATCTCATTAATGTCTAGTTAAGAAATTGATTGTAATCAATTCACAGCAATTTATAGTACCATGTTTTAGATACAAACAATGAATCGATAATAATTCATTTATTGTTGTCATTTCGTCAATTTTTTGTTTTTATTCAAAAAAGAAGCTGCTCATCAATTCAATCAAGTTTTTTTTTTTTTTGCTTTGAAGGTCTCCTTTTTTTCTTTTGTTTCGTTATGTTTATCTCCTTATTGGAGTACAATCGTCAACATGTTCAACACAACAAATCCTAGTTGAAATCCACAGAGAGAAGTAATAGAAAAATAAAGATGAAAAAAAAACAGCAGAGAAACAGAAAAAAAGAAAAGATACGATGTTAAACCTGCCTGTATAGTTGTGCGTGTGCGCAGAAATAAAAAAGAACTAGAGAAAGAGAGAGAGAGAGACAGAGAGCGAAAAGACAAAAAAGAAAAGCAGAAAATACCTACACACAAAAACCAAATAACAAACAACAAGAGCTCATCCGTTCCACATAGGAAATGAGAAGAAAAACCAACAAGAATTAACAGGTTCGGTTTACCTACACAAATAATGAGAGTTGATAAATGAGAAGACTGTTCAAATAGGAGTATGCTGTTTGAAATACTAAAGAAGAAGCAGAAGAATCGATCGCGCAAAGATAACATAAATCTTGCTCGAAAAAGAAAAAAGAAAACAAATACATAGATGTATTACAATGCAAGACCGGAGTACGAGATAAAGTCATGGTAAGTACCTTCCTAATTTGTTTTTTTTAAACAAAAACAAAAAACCTGAGACAAAAAAAAAATCAAGAAGTTTGTTTTTTAAACACACAGAACTAAACTACAGCAATGTAATAGGGTTGCGTTTTTTTTCCCTAAGAGATCCCATATGTTGAAATAATAATCAATCAAAACGAAACGAACTACTATTGATCGCGCGAATAGACAAAACAACAATAACGAAAAAAAAAAACAGAAATGGCCGACAAAGACAGACAGAAAAAGAAAAGTGCGACTAGAAAGAAAAAACAAAGAGCGAGAGTCTAGATAGTTTTTTTTTGTTTTTTTTGCGTGATAGTAACAACAGAAAAAAAACCAGAATGAATACACACCGGTGAAAGAAAAAACCAAAAAAAAAAAGAAAACAGAATCGACAAAAAAATTCATTTTATTTTTTTTCTCTATCTAATCCCAAGAAGTATTATGACCATAATAGATAGGATGATGACTATTATCAGGTGCTGTTGTTAATAATGGCGATGCTGGTAATATATTATAACGTGATGTTGATGTTGATTGTTCATCAATTGGAAATAATTTACTAAATGGTTCAAATGAACCAAATAATGATGACAAAAGATTTTCTTGATATAAATTAGCAGTTGCTGCTGCAGTTGATGAACATGATGATTGAATATTTGTTATTGTTGGTGATAGAATATTTGTTATATCATTAACTACTGAATTTTCTGTTGGTTTTGTATTGATTGACACATCAGATGATGATGGTTCAAGTAAGGCAACAATATCCGATGGTTGATAAACATTTGTTGTTGAGACAGGTGATGATGGTGTTGCAATTTCAGATGGTGATGGAAAAAGTGTATTTGAATTTGATGTATTTCGATCAATAAATGGTGATAAATTTAGATGATGGGTTGATGAAGAATTGGTTAAACTAAGATTAAGATGAACAAAAATTTAAATGATATAGAAATCTATGACAGATATAAATTAAATCAAATAATAGATTTCAGAAGATACTAAATTAGGTACGGATTCGGTGAGCTTTAGTCCTCTGAACCCAAACAAAAGTTTCTCGTATCTTTAGGGCGACTATCCATTGTTTACAAAAGAATTTCATTGAGAGTATCAAAGTACAGTTCAAAAAAGTTTGATCAAACAAATTCGGTTCTCCAAAACATTCAAGAAGGATGAATACTCTTGCCCTTCGGTTACCTTGACGTATAGTGTTACCAGGTAAAGTTCCTATGAACTCTCCATACACACTAACCAGCTACAAGAGCACAGGTATGTTCCAATGTACTCAGCATATTTTCGGATGGATGATTCAAGACAAACAGCTGTACATGACTTGTCCAAGGTCATTACATGAGTGCTGATCCGAAGTTTGAGTACAGTAACTTGTGAATACTTGCTGAAATTCTCAATAAATCAGTTTCGGGTACGAAAATTTTCGATCGAATGCACTCGAATGTGGACTCTACTGAACAACACTATTCTCATTTAATTAGATGGCATTAGCTTATTGACTAGTTTTATTTCACATAGACGGCAAGAACTATCTATTTATGCTTTATTACGATTTGTATACTATCTAAAATCTTTTTTGTCGCAGCTTAGGAGTTTGTGAATTTCAATATATTAATATGTGAATCAATATCACTCTTTACCGAAGATGGAGTCAGTTCAGTTTCAAAAAATGCTACAAACCAATTCAACTTATAACTTAGTGCGGAAAAGTCCTAACAAAAAATATTCACTCATTTTTTCGTTGTTTCCGAATATACGTTCAGAATTTCCTTCTGGAATAAGATTGCATGACTGTCATCAGATTATTTGAAATTAGTTTTTGTAGAATGCTCTTTTGGTCAATATTCTATTTTTATTGAAACCTATCAAATTCAAAATGCGAAACAACTTTCGGCTTTCTTTGTTCTACAAAACATGCTATTTACTTTTTCATAACAGGTTTTTTAAACTTTTACATATTTACAAGCAAGTTTTTAACCGATGTCGATTTCCATCGAAGCACATAAATGGAATTTTGCTTATCGTAATATTTCATTTTGTACAGAACTCAATAATGTTGAGTTGAAGTTATTTCAAGACATAAACTAAGGACTGCATCAGAATTGTGATTTGTTTTTTACTTTTTACAGATAGTTTTGGCCTTTTTTCATAAAATTTCTAACTAGTTGTCTTTTAGTAACCGAATATTTTGATCTCTTCTCGAAAATCAAATATTATTTTTATCAATTGAAGTATTAATTTTAAAACATAGTATCTTACCCATCAAATATTGGTTGATTTTCATTTGTTAATGTTTCTAAATTATTTCTATTTGTATAATTTCCATATGGTATTGATGAATGTTGATGATGATGATGTAAAACAGGTTGTTGTTGTTGTTGAATGATTGACATCATCGCAAGATTTTGATTAAACGTATGATGTGGTGATTGGGATTTAAGTGGTGAAAGAATTTTCGGTGAATTATTTCCATAAAATTGTTCATTAGAAGCAGATTGATGAGATAATAATGTCGATGGACGAGTACGTGGTGATGGTGGCGTTGAAACTTCGGCTAAATAAAATAACAAAAAAAAGATTATAATGAAAATAAGTTTCTATTTTACATACAACCAAATGAATTAAGTTTTGGTGTTGTTGGTGATGGTGATATTTGTTGTTGTCTTCGTCCTGATGCACGTGACCACTCAACAATAAGACGTCGATCTTTCCATGTATAACCATGAAGTGTATGTAAAGCATGTTCTGCTTCTAAAAATGTTTTAAATGTAACAAATGCATAATAATCCCATAGAATAACACAATCAATAACATGACCAAATGGTGAAAATAAACGTTGTAAATCATTGACTTTACAATTATCTGGTAAATTCGTACAATATAATTTCGGAATTTCACCGTTTGCACCAACATCTAAACGAAGAAAAAAATTCAGTAATACATATATGTATAAAAACATTAGTTTGTTATCTTTTTTTAATACCTGTTTTAATATTTTTATTTGATTTTATATGATTTATTTTATTTGTTTGAAGTGATAATGGTGATGGTGTCATTCTATCTATAGGCATTGGTGGATATTGTGGATAATAACCATTATTTATTTCTTGAGGTAAATAATATGGTGATGGAGGACGATATGTATTTGGAAAAAAATTATTTCCATCTTGTACTGGTGATGAACATGATAGTGAATGTTGAGGATTATAACTTGTAATCATATCATAATTGAGTTCTGAAATATAAAACAAACAAAAATTTATTATAGAGTTGTGAATGAAGATAAAGTATTATTTGACTTTATGTTATAGCTACGAGCAGATATCTGTGAGATTAAGAAATACTCGAACCTACGACCTATCAATGAAGATTTATCGCTGTTTCAATAACATTTTTATTGAAAACAAGATATTTCTGTAAAATTTAAAACATACTGTATCCTCTGTTGATAAAGTGTCATGTTTTGGAAATTAAACATCTCGAAAAAATATGTACGTTTTCCTTAAAGCTTTCAGGACTATCTAATAACTAAAAAAACTAACTATTAAACTTGAGTAAGTACGAGTACATATTCGTAACCCGAACGCCCAATGTTTGTACATGTACTCATAAATCGAACGCTTAGTACACTGACTCATACTCATGATTCAAACACCTACCACTGGTACTTGACGAAAATACGTACTTGGTCAACTCTGCTTTTTAGAAATAAAATTTCGAGCGAGCACTCTTTGTTTTGGTTTTTAAGCAAATATCTTGTTTTTAATCAAACATTTTATTACAATGGCCATACGTTCGAATCTTTTTAAAGTTTTCTTAGTTTCACAGAGATCTCCGTGTAGTCCTAATATGAAATCGAACGTCGTTATTATTTTACATTCATAGGACATAGAAGAAAATTTTAATGTGTCACTCACCATTCGGATATTGTTGTGCAAGTGTATTTGACTGCTGCTGTTGATTTTTTATTGTTGATCCTCCTCCAGTATTATTTCCATTAGTAAAATTCTGATAATTAATCGATGATGATGGTGGTGGCGGGTTAGCCATAACCATCAATTGTTTAGGTTGTTGTGATATAGAATTATTTATTTCTTTTGGTTGTGGTCGAAAACGTGATGTAGATAATTGAACAATAAGTTTCCGATTAAGAAACATTGCACCATTTGATTGATCAAGTGCACGACGAGCTAAAAATTCCAACAAAATTTTTATTTTCTTTTTTTTTAGAATTTAAATTTACCTTCTTCCATCGTCGCATAATGAACAAATGCATATGAATTCCACATAACTAAGTAAAGTTTTCTTAAATTTTGGAAAATAAAAAAAAATTGTTATCTTACTCGCACATTCTTGTACACGACCAAAACGTGAAAAAAATTGTTGTAATTGTTGTCGAGTAGCTGAACTTGGAAAATTCGTTACATAAAGTTTAGTTTCTATTGCAGCAGCCATCTGCAAACAATTAAAAAATAAGATTGAATCAATTTATCTCGAACTAATGAAAAGCCTCATGTCACGCGTATAAAAAAAAAACAAAGATTTCTTGTTTTCATTTTTTTTATAAATAAGAAAAAGTCACACAATGTAAAAGAATTTAGATCTTTTGAAATGATGCTATGTCAACAGATTGAACATGATCTTGAAATTCCATAATACGTTCTTCAAGAATATCCGTACCAACCTGTAAAACAATCATTAAAATAAGTCAAAAACCAAAAAACAATTTTACTTTATCATCTTCAACAACACAAGAAATTTGTAATTTTTTAATTGTATATGCAAGTGGTATAAGACGACCTGTATAAAAATATTTAAGAGATAGATTTTAAATAAAACAACAAATTTATAAAACTTACCAGCGCCCCAAAGTAATCCATCCACTTCAATTGAACGTACATTACGTTCAAGTTCTTCCATATTTGTTTCATCATCCCATGGTTTAACCTATTGAAAGAAATTCATTATAATAATTATTTAATTAATATTTTAATACATACATCAAGAACAATTGCACTTTTAGCAACAACACCAGGTTCTTAAATAAAAGCAATGGGTTATATAAGAAAAATGGAAATTTTTTAGTTTTTACTTTTAGCTTTCTTTTCTGCATAAGCAGCTAAACGTTGTTTAGTTTGTTCGCTTTCTTCTTCATCTTCATCACCAAATAGATCAACATCATCATCGTCATCAGTAGTTTTTTTTGGTGCTTGTACTGTAGTTGGATCAACAGAAAGTGTTTTAAATTCATGTTTTATTTGACTATCTTGACCATGTTGACGTCCATAATGTTCAATTGGTTTACGTTCACCTTTAAATCTGATACAAAAAATTTACGAAAAAAAACTAAAAATACAAATTACTTTTGTCTTTCGGCATCACTAAATGAAGCAATATGTTTATACCAACGTAAAGCATGTTCAAGATCAGCACTTGGAGGCTTTTTAACGCATTCAAATACAACAACATCACCTTGTGATGGATGATATCTATTGGATAATAATATTTAGACATAAACAAGAGCATATTTATATTTATATACATAAGACAAACCCTTCAATATATGATTTATCATCAAGAAATGTATTGAGCAAACAAAGACCATCGCGTGCTTCAAGATTACCGAAACCCATTTTCTATTTTAATGATGGTCAAGTAAATCTAGAAAAAGTATAAAGAAATGTTCTATGAAATATAAGTTGTTTTTTTCCTTGACTATTGATTCGTTCTTTTAATTCAACGAACGAAAAATCCACAGTTTATCCATGCAGATGTCGGATTGTTTATTTACTGATTAATAGTTTTTTTGATTGCTGGAACTAAACGATTGTCTAAAAATTCGATTGACAAAAATGCATTAAATTAAATTTATATAGAAAACAAAAACTAATAAAAAAATGATTAGACTTGAAATAGAAGCTTTATTAACAATATTATTTTATTTGACGATTGTAAGTGCATAAGTGATTTAATCCATAGAGGCGTTACTATAGATACGGATCATAAAAATGGTTAAGTACGTTTTAAAAGATTTGCTACTTAGATTTCACACATTCGAATCTTATCATTACGCTAAAAATTCATTGAATTGGACATATAAACCGAAACACTCTATGTTTGTTTGAAAGACAGACTAACGATAGATCGATTATAGAGAAAGTCATTGATGGTCATGCTTTTACTTTTTTTTTGTAGGTTCATATTCAATGGCAAAAGGAAAGAAAAAATCGAAGAAAAAAGATGCTGCATTAATTGAACAAAATACGCAATTATTACGACGTATTTTAAAATTATACGATCAATATAGTATCGAACAGAATAGTGTTACTTGTACAGAGGTGACAAAAACAATTCGATTATTACTTGAAGAAGGCGAAAGTTTAACAAGAGTGAAATATTTAATATTGTTAAAATGAAAAGAAAATTTTCATCTATATATTTCAGGTATTTCTTCGACCGAATCCTCAAAAAGCAATTAAACCTATTGCAGAAACAGATGAACCGAAATCCGTTGCGGAAGAGGTTCCAATTGTTCGTAGTTTGAAAAATATTTTGAATAAGAAAACAAAACTTTTTTTTTAATTTCTATCGAATAGCTACATACTTTTGTTCGACCATTTGTTCGTACATTATCAACTTGTGAAGTTCATACACTAAAAGTATTTGCTGTATGGAATATTTGTATGGAATTACTTGATTGTATTGAACTTGTAAGAAATGTCTTTTGATTGAAATGAATGATGAATTAATAATTTTCAGGGTCTTTATTTAAAACTTCCAACAACTATTGTTCAAACTCTTTCACTTAATGATTGTCTTCTTCAACCAGATCCTTTATACAGACTTTCAACGTATGTATGTCTGAAAGTTTCGATAGTAATTGTATTTGTTTTTTTCTACAGATCATTTAGTATATGTCGTACACTTCGAATATTGAATCTCGACTATAATGAGTAAGTTTTCCTTTGCAGACGAAGTTTTTTATAATGATAGAAAAGAGAATATTTGTACAATATGAATAAGAATAATTAGCACAATCCCTGGACACAATAGGCATTTTTCCATATACCAGGTGAACATGTGATATTTTAACGGAGAAAAACATTATTTTTTTGGTCAATATTGTTTTTTCATCTCTTAAATGTTAATATAATGTGAAAAAGTCAAATACAAAACAAACTGTTTTTGACTGCGAGAGACGCTTACTCTAGATATACATGAAATATTTTTTTAATAAGAAGACTATTTCTATTGTAACACCTCGCTGTTACACGAGAACGACTTTTTTCGAATCCCAAACATATAAAAGTGAAAGGTTTTTTAAAGAACGATAGAGTAAAAAACACAATTTCAGATTATTTATATAATTTTTTCATGGATGTTTTCTGTTCACAGTAAAAAAATGCTTTTAATCCAAATTAGTGGTACTTTTTCGACAAGGTTTTCTTCAGAAATAGAATCGTTCTGAGTAAGCAACTTTAGATAGTGCTATTTACCATCATCAACTATTAGTAAAGTTTCATGACACATCGTCAATGCTATACTAAGGCCGAAAAATCAATAAGACATGCCGGTAAGGACAGGTCTACCAGTAGACCGGCTAGTAACTTATACTGGTTCTATCTCTAATTTTCTGTATGTTTTTCGACTAATCCTAACAAAAATAATAAAAACTTTTATGTCATTAAATAATCTATAGGTTGGATTATACGTAGTTCTATTAAAATCGTCAGAAAGTACACTTAATTTTTCACATGATGTCCGCTTGAATTCCCGCAATGCTATAGAGACTTAAAATGCAAAATACGATGTAGCTGCACTTGTTGGTCACAGAAGAATCGTTCTATTCTATCTATTTTAGGACAACTTTTTTTACTGATTCCTCCACAAATGCAAAAAGGAAGTAGTTCATATATTTTAACGAGATGTTATTAATATACGGTCTTTGATTGTATATCAACAACGTCTATCACCGCTTGTAGAAGATCCAAATTTTTACCCCTATCCTTCAACACTCTTTTTAGATCGTGTTTCACAAAAACATATATTTAGATTTGGTGATGAAGGATGTTTATTATTATGTAATAATTTGGTTAACAATCAATGCATCACGCAGCTTTCTATGACATACTGTGATCTTGGCCCTGTATGTGGAAATCCTTTAGGTCGACTTCTCGTACAAACTGCTATATCGTATAGATAAAATTTATTTTCTCTAATTAAATAAAAAAAATTTTATTTAGTGCAATTTATCTTGATGGAAATCATTTTGGATGTCAAGGTGCATATGATTTAATAAAATTCTTATTACTTGATTGTGAAAAATTTCTTCTTGATAAACAAGATAAATTACAAGCTGAAATGGAATTAAAAGCACAAGAAGGTTTATTTTACATGTTAAAAATGAATTTTCAAAAATTTTGATTATTATTTAGCTATACTTCGAGAAAGACAAGGTTTACCACCTGAACTAACTGAAAGCGAGAAAAAAGAAGAAAAGAAAAAGAAAAAAAGTATAATTTTAAAATATAAAAAATTTTTTGAATTTCTTTGAATATTTTTCATAGAAAAGAAAAAGAAGAAAAAACTAACCCTTGATGATATACCACCATTTGGACCATTTGTTACAAAAATTCATTTATTTGATAATGAAATTGATTATTTACAACCCGATGGCTTTGCTGTAATTCAACAAACAATAAATGCTTTTGCACGGTTTGTTCATTTTTCATGTATAATAAAAGAATAATTGAATTTAACTTTTCTTTAAAAGATTAATTGAAATCTCTGAAGAATTAGAAGAACTTGATCTTGATGAAAATATTATTGGACATGTATGTGGAGGATTTATTTTAGAGTCATTAAAAAAACGAAAAGAAAGTAAATATTGATTAATTTTACGGGATGTTTTTTTTTTTGAAAACATTATGAGTATTATTGTAGGTAAATTAAAAAAGATTAAGATTAATGTTAGTGAAAAAATTGATCAATTTGTTTTTGCTGATATATTAAAACTTAGTGCGAAAATGAAGAAAAAACGAAAACGTGCGAAAAAGAAGGTAAAAGATTATTTCTTCTAAAAGTTCGTAATTATTTTTCAAGTCAATTAACCTCTAGTAAAAGCAGTGAAGGTTCACAGACCCATAATGAAATCTTAGTCATTAAAGATTTGATATTTTTACACAAGAGTGCATGATGACATAGAGCATTCACTGTTTTATTATCTAGACACTTTAATTAATAATGGAGGCAGCTGGTGATATCAAATAACGTACTGCTTCTTGAGAACTATTAGTAATAGAACAGAGTGTTTCATATTACCATAATAAATTACGCCTATAATAGGTCTCTTACAAGGAAATCAGATTATTGAAGAATGTCTAAACAAGCAAGTGCTGAAAAGAAATGAAAATCTGAAATCCTATGAACGGGCTCTCCTTTCTTGACCCATAATTTTGAAATTTCTTACTTTTGTTTTTTTTTTCTGGTCTCTATACACCTCGAAGTATTGAGTGCATTTTTAGAATTAATATACAACTATAATAAAAGTCGAAAAAGATGTAATATTTTCGCTGAAAAACATCAGAGTTTACACATTATTTCATTAGTTTTGAAAAATGAGTTTTTCGACAAAAAAAAGGTTGACAATCGTTCCTGTTTCTCACCTACAGTACATTCCATCGAGTCAAAACTTTCTTCTACTTATATTAGAAAGTGTTCAGAGTGCCTAAAATATTTGTTTCAAAACATGACGTGCAGCTGGTTTTTTCCAGAGTTTACAAAAAAAATGCTCCAGTTAAAAAACCATGCATTTTTGGGTATTCGCGCTGAGATTGAAAAGAGATAAAAAGAAACCCAAAAAGGTAGACACATCGAACAATGTCTAGTATGTTTAAAATAAAGGTCAGCTCTATTAGACGTATTGCAGCGAAGAAAGGGAGCGAGTGAGTTTTATATTTTGCCATCCTCATCTCTCCTAGAAGAAAACATTTGGGAATTTTCAGTCTATAACAACTGTTGAGATTGATCTACCTGGAAAATTTCGAAACTTTCGAAGTAGTTGTTCTTCTCAAGAAAAAACAACAGTTAGTCGCATTATAGAATTGCTAGCAGGTTTTAGAACAGTGTGATTCGTATTTCACTTCCTACAAATCTAAATCTGCAAACATGTGACTTCATCACATTTACTATTGCGCTAAGATAAAAAAGACATGTGAAAAATAAACAATTCGTAGATGATCTTGCTGGTAAACGGTAATTGTATGTTGACATTCATATTTTGAATTTATCGAAATGTTATGAATGGATGAAAATTATATTCATTGTTAAATAGTGGAAACCGCAACATAAGGAAAAATGACATAGGAAATTTTTACGACAACTATTGTTTAGTTTTATTTAAGGCTTCATGCTCAATTAGAAGAGTTCACTAAACATTCGGATTTATACTCATATATAATGTTTCTTGTCCTTGAATAGATTATTAGTTATTTTCTGTACATTTCTGAATTATTACTAACAAGAGAACTATCCAAAATGACATCTAATCTTCTAGTTCATATTAGATCAACGAGCAAATCTCCGTGAGAATAGAAAGAGTGTAAAAGAGTTCGTCCTCATTAGGCTTTTAGCGTTGAGCCATGACCAATTTACTAGATTTCCGACCTATTTTTATATACTCTTCTGCACACTGAATAAAAGATAAGGACAAATGTCGTTTAAGAAAGTTCTCTGGCGAGAATAGTTTTTCTCGACTTTATTTTTTTAATATTGTGTCTGATTACCATAGATCCATTCTCTAGAAGTGCCGAGAAGAAAAAGGTCCCCTTAAGCACTTTCTTTTGATCTATTCATATTCCTTCACTGACTGTTCGATAGCATAGAATGTATTTTAACTGTATTAAAAATCATTCTTCCCAAGAATCAGCTAGATTTTATTTTTATGCAAGAGTTCATTAAGTCGGAACTGTTTCCATGTAGTCTTATGTTTGAAACTTTTTCGAACCTATTAGACATTGCCGTATTCTTAACCTATCTCTTGTATCCATTTAATCTTGAAATTTAGCATTTTTAATTTTTTTTTCTATTTATTTTTAGAAATAATCTGTTATAAAATCATCGATTTGTACACGTACATATATTTTTCAAATAGATTTTTTTTTTATATATTAACTAAAAGAAAACACAAAAGAAAAATAAACGAATATTTATACAACAGATCCAATCGGTTGATGCAAATATTGTTGTGATGATGAATCATTATAAAGTTTTTCAAAACGTTCTAAATATTTATTAATATCAGTCATTGATAAACGTTGTTGATAATTTTGTTTAAAAGATGTTTTTTCTGATGAATATTGAAAATTAATTTTATCTAATGATGAATGTGAAAGAATTCTTCGTTGATGTTGATAATTATTAACATATGAATATGTTGGATAAATTCTTTGTTCACGACTTGATACACGAGGTAATGATGCTATTGTTGTTGTCATCTAAAATAACAATTATTTATTTAATTATTTATTTGTTTGTTTGTTTTTTTTCCTAATAAAATGTTCTTACATATTCATTATCAATTAAACATGTATCTGGTGTTGTTGGTGAAATATTTTGCCAAGTTGTTTTTTTCTCAATTTTTAATTTTTTTTTATGATTTATCCAACAATTATTAATAATAAGTATTAAAATACTTAATAAAATAACAAATAAAATCATTGATGATATACTAATAAAAAACAGTGTTACTGATATATTTTCATTTAATTTTATATCAAATATTAATGTTTGTTGAGTTATTAAACGATTTGGTTGACCAAAATCTTTAATAATTAATGTAAAATTAATTTTTGTTTTATTTAAATCTTTAAGAAATATTCGACCAGTAAAACGTTCGATTTCAATATTTAGTAATTTATCATTGATTTCATATTCAATTGATGGTGGAAATAAATTTGTTTGATCATTTAACAATATATCTGGATCATAAGCTTTTATTTGATAGAGAAATTTTGATGATAAAATTTCAATAGATTGTCTTGTAGAATTCATTAATAAACGAGGTGAATATTTATTAATACCAAAAAATATTCGAACTGATATTGAACTACTTAATGATGGTAAATGAGAATCGATTGCTCTTATTTGAAAATCATAATAATAAGATGTATATAATGAAGTTGATCGAATTATAATTGAACCATTATATGGATCAATTGATATTATATCTGGTACTGATGATATGTATTTAACATAAGATGGTATTGATGGAAGAGAAAATTGAGATAAACTTTTACTTGATAAAATGTAAAATGATTGAGTAAAATAAGGAAAAGCATTGGTGATTGAATATGGATTAATAACATATATGCGAAGTTGAACGGAACAGATAATTATCTAAATAAAAGAAAATTTAAAATCTTGTAAAACACGATCCGAAAGGAATGTTGAAATATAGGCGGTGAAAATTTAGACCTTCCTCACCAATAGAGGTTTCAATAAAACCGAAACCGTTGAATCATTAGATAGACACACAATATTCTTCAATCTGAGTGATCGAAATTTCGCCAATAGGACATTCACAAACTGTCACCCGACATCCTGTGATCAACAGAATTGGGAGCGATTATTCAGGAGACTGATTGAAAGATTTTTTGCTACGATTGATCAGACTCGAAAGCTAGGGTCGAACGATTTTTTTTGAGAATTGTTGAGCAAAAAAAAACGCGGAAATTTCGCTCGAGAGAATTTTTCAAGATTGGGAGACATCCTTGATAATAGCTTACACTCATCAATGTAGTCGATAGGAAGTTCTTTTTTAGTACACAAATAATTCACGGACAAGTTGGCGAAATTCCGTAACCCCTTCAAACTATGTCGAAAAATGCTCATGTTTTCATTCTTGTGATTAAAAGTTTCAGTATGTGTGTATAATATGGTTTTGTTTAAGTATTGAAACATGTAACCTCATTAATCTTAAAAATTCAATAGTAAAAATTTCTCAAAATAGATTTAAAATTTTCGTATCTATCTGATGATTTAACTATTCTGGCTCCACATTCTAACCGTGACAGACACAAGTAGAGCCCATCGAGTTAGTCCCAAACCTAGTCGGGATTCGAAAATTTTGAAATCGATCGGTTCATTTTTAAACCTGATCTAAGCGGATTAGAATTTCTTGATATTGAACTTACATCATTTGTTGAATTAGTTTGTTTTTGTTGAAGAGTTAAAGAATAAAAATTTTGTTGTTTAACATTTAAATATTTTTTTAAAATTAACTTAAATTTTTTATCAATATGAAATGTATCTGTTGGATCAATTAATATTAATTGATTTGATTGATTATTTAAACAATGATGATAACGATTATATATTGAAATTTGTTCATTTAATAGAATATTTTCATTAATTTTCATAAAAAATATATTTGAATTAATTAATATATTTAATTTATTTAAATGAATTATAAATGAATAAATTTTTGTTGATTGAATTGATGGATATTTTAAATTTATAATATTTATTTCAATATTTAATGAAATATTTTCTTTAATATGAATATAATTTGTTAAAATTTTCATTAATATAATTGAATTTAAATTTAAATATAAATCATATGTTAAATAATTAAAATAAAAAATATCATTTAATGATGAATTTATATTAATTAAACAATCAAAACATGATTTATTATATTGTTTATCATAAATTAAAAAATGACCTAATGATAAATCAATATTTTCTATATCAATATAAATATTTGTTTGATTAATTAATGATATATTTGATTTAAAATCAATATCATATAAAAATGTTAATTTTATTTCAATAAAACATTTTGTTGATAGACGATATGGTTTACCATGATCACTTATATTAATTATTAATATTGATTCATTTGAACGTATCCATTTTTTATAATCAAATTTTATTTCTCCATTATATCGATCAATAGTAAATCCTAATAATCTATTTTCAATATTATATTCTAATTTTCCATTATCACCTTCATCATAATCAGTTACATTTAATAGAAATTTTGATATTAATGATATATTTTTTATAACAAATAATGTTTGATTTTGTTGACATTTTGGTATATTATCATTAATATCTTTTATTATAACAATTATATCTGTTGATGCATCATTTTGATTATGTGCTACAAGACGAAGTAAATAAATATTTTGTTCTTCACGATCAAATTTTTTTAATGGTTTTAATAATAAATTTTTTTCATCAAATTCAAATAAACCATGTGGTTTATTCCAATTTTGTAAATAAATTGAATATGTTATTAAATCTTGATCATCATCATATGCTTGTGGTAATAAATAACTTTTTTTCAACCAATTTTCATCATTTTCTTCAATTTCAATTATTGTACGATTAACAAGAAATTTTATTAAATTATCATTTTTATTTAATATACGAATAGGTAATATATAAACATCAATTGTATCCTCATTTGAAACAGCTATACTTACAGATATAATACAATGATTGTTTTTTAAACAAAGATTTTCATAATCAATACGATTTTTTATTATAAGACAATGTTGACTATGATTTATTGAAAATAAATCAAGATCAATAGACAATGGTGTAACAAGATCATATTCATTTGATTGTTCTAAATTAGGAATTTTATCTATTAACGATGTTACTATTGAATCATTAGGTAATTCTTCTTCAAGTGATATTTCATTGAGATGTTTTATTGTTTGAGAATGATTAAAAGATACAAAGAAGAAAATAATGTATAAAATTAGAAACATTATTCGATCTGAAATAAAAATATTCGTGACAAAAGTTGTAAAAATCATTATCTAACGTTAATAGATTAAATATGATTTTTTAAAACTCCTTCAATACAAGGTTACTTTTCGAACAGTATTAGAGATTATGATAATCTTGAGGATGTAGGTAGTGATGAGCAGAAGCAATCATTTTTAGTCCTAATTTCGCGCTTAGTGATACGTGTACTAACAAAAAATGCGATATTATTTTCTAGCAGTGTCCATGAGCTTGAGACATCTTGCACGAACCTCATGACTTGTACATAACTCATTTTAATTCACTAATACTTTGTCTATTCCGTACGTTTCTGTGTTCGACAACTATGTTGTTTACGAAAAAAGAATTCATTTTTTTCTATCAAAATTGTAACAGTACATATTGAAATTATCGTTATTCAGTAATTTTCGCATGAAACTTTAGAACACATAAGACATGAGAAGATGATATTTCACTTAAATTTTACAGGACCATAAAAGATATCACTGTAAACGAAAAACTATCGCTTCTGATCTCGGTCTGATCTTGTCCGTATCTAAGTGTAGCTCTTCTCTTCAACCATACCCTCATAATGTGACTGACAGTCTAACAGATTCATAGTCCGTATACTACCGCAGATCATAACAGCATCATACGACGGATACACAAATTAATTATGAGTGGATTCCGAACCGGATGTGTATATATATGTTTCCGATCTTCACGGGATTCAATCGTCTGTTCGAAGTACATGGGTATGGTAAACATTATGATAGCTGAAATTAATATTATTCAAGTTCGCACTCGAATTAAAGAGGAGGAATGGGTTAAAACTCAATAACTCTGTAATGGCAACAGCTAAAATCACCATTTGAAATCAAACCAGAATGCCGTTTTTATGCACTTTTTCTTAATGTTTTGCTAAGAGGATCGATTTCAAAACAATTTTGCCTCATACAGTGTCAAATGAAAAGACGCTCAGAGCTCTCCTCTTTCGATCGCTGAAAATTGCAGATCACTAGTTGTTGCCGTTATCGAGCTATTACTGACGCAGACATTAGTTTGGTATTTTTAGAAATATGTTTTAATGCGAGAAATCGGCAAGAAAGATTATTCTAATGTTTATTCCTATAAATAAACTTCATGATATATTAAAAAATAAACCTAGTTAATAGAGGATTACTCTTTAATTCATTCTGATCGCTACAGTTGTAATATTTGTTTAAAACTAGGACTGAATTTCACTGTAATTTAAGTTAATTCGAGGATCTATCGGCTACATGGGAGAGTTTAGTGTAGTGGCGAACTGTTGGAACACATGGGATGTTATTTCATAAGACCATACATACGTGATATTTTGAAAATAAGTTTGAGAATCCTATCGATGATAAAATGATTATGATTGTCTTTATAATAGAATAATTTAATCTAAATAAGACGGTAAAATATCATCTACTCTATTAAATAAAATAATAATAAAGTCTAATGTTTCGATATTGGGCACGTGTTTGTCAACTCTTGTCACTTTATCGTCTTATCCTTTCTATGTCTCTTCTTCACACATGAATATTCATTTATATTTTCGTTTCGGATTTTAACAGCTTTACCTCTCTCTTAGTTCAAATTGAGCGAGTGTCGCTTGCTTTATTCGCATTACCACACACGGTGTTCATATGCAAATTGAATATACACTATAGAAGTTACTTCTCTATGTCTATTTTTTTGTTTTCTTCTCCTTCATGCTAACTCACTAACAAACGTTGCCTATCATCATAAAATATGTTCATCATCTACCATGTAAATCTTATCTTTCAACAAGATACGAGGAGAAAGAGGAGGAGAAGAAGAAAAAAAAATAGTAAACTATTATTCTGAGACGAAGTCAAAGCCTTGAGACAGTCATCTATCAACACTATCGATCGATTAAAAGAGCTTTTTATTCCATCAGTCAATTTCCGAGTATGTACGTTCGTTCATTGATTTGTTTAGACATTCTCATATACAATATACGGATTAAAACAATTATTTATCAATAGAAGAAAAAAAAAAAGAACGAACTCATATTCAACTTAAGAATTTTAAGTGACATACAAACTATTCGAGTAGTTCAAAGAGCACTTTAATCAACGATAGGAGAATAATGTCAATTTAGATATTGTTCAATCGAAGAAAAAAAATCTCATCAAAAAAGAAATATAAATTTCATATGATTAAAATTTGAAGAGAAGAAGTCTTATACAAAATAAAATACAAAGAATAATATTTAGAATTCAATTCGATTAAAATAGTAAAATAATAATAAGAGAAAACATATGTTTATTTTTCAATAATTTGAACGGTGTACAACATAAAGAAACCTGATTCTTTATACAAGCAAAAGACAAATAGAGCCATATGATGCCTGTTAATTTAATGTCATAGAACGTGATTTATGCTGGGTATAAAAGCAGACGGTGTGTACGAAGAAAAAAAAATGACAAAATATTTACAGATAAGAAATGTTTTTAAAATCACGAGATTACTTTCTTCATGCAACTATGTTTTAAACATGTAATGTTACTTGTACTTACACAATCTGTTTGACTATGTTCAATTATTGTTGTTTCATATATGTGCATAAATACAAATTCGATTGCTGCATATTATGATGAAGGTTGTCCCGACAATCGTATAAGCGTTTTCAAGTATCGGTACCGAAAAAAAAAGAGGGCCCGCCTGTATTATCGAGATAATGGATAATTCGAGAGACTTGAAAATGCACGCAGGACGCCGACTCAATGAACAACTCAATCAAGCGCCAAAAATTTGTTCATCTGTTCTCCTCTTTTTTTTTTTTTATACACATTTGATCTTGAAAATTGTAGACTCGCTCTCTCTCTCTCTTGTTCTGGTTGTGTACCGATATTCTTGTAATCGACCAATCAGTTAAAGAGGCGAGAGAGAAAAAAAACTGATGATCATTGACGAGAGATTGAACACCTGAGTGTAAAGGGATATTGTCCGGTTGAAGTATGACTTGACAAATACGTTAGCCAGACGAATGAACAGTCTGGTAATTAGTTCGATCACTCTCTTCGTTGTTCCCTAATGACAAGTTCATAGAAACAATACGACTTTTTTTTTTCTTCTCATTGATCATCACCAGTACTAATCGGTTTCGCCTACATGCACATTCTATTCCTTCGAGATTGATATTAACACGCATGTTATTCACACCAATAGTATTTTCATTGTATAGAATGTATTTGGCATCGATTACTTTTTTCTTAATTTAGTTAATGATTTCAATAAAATACTTTTACAAGTATAAAAGAAGAAACAAAAAAGAAAACTCCTTGACATATGAAAATTGTATCCAAATGAACTTCATCTATCTTAGTTACTTGTCAGTTCGCACGCGATTATCATGGTAACAATGTAAATCGATATAGATATGGCTTCTTAGTATCGATTAATCCACTTATATATATTGAGTTAATTCGTCTCATCTAATGACTTTTACAAGTGATGAGTGTGTTTATATATATACATGAGAGATAGTTTTATGATTTCGAACAAGTGTATGGCAGTAAGGTGACGAGTAGCATTAGAAAAGGAAAGGGTGTGGTCATCGATACAGATGTGTGTATTGCTTGTTCATTCGAATGCATGTCTGCCTCAAGCGATAACCTTCAAAAAAAAAAGAAGTTAGAGAGAGAAGAAAAATCACCACGTCATAATGTACCATACATTAAAAAACAGAAGCTGTAATTAACAAATGAATATGAACGCACGCGATCATCCTTTTGATGACGAATATTCATTGTGACTTTCCAATATGTTCGCTATGAATCGATTTGAATTTATCGAAAAACTTAAAATTGGATTGTTTAGATTAATAACTTTTGATCTAAAATTATGAAAAAAAAAATATCATATCGAATAGCTCATAAAAAATCATCATGTGTTTTGCTTTTAAACAATAGTTGTTATTATCATATCGTATTGGTGATAATATGATTGTTGACAAACATTTTGAAAACAATAACAGCTATTTTTTACAATAAAACAAAATGAAACTGTATAGAAGATTAACGAAAGAACTTATAGTCGATGCCGATGTCTTTGAAGATGAAGTATATGTAGAACAACGAGAATAGCTTAAAGCATAAATTCATTAACTAAACTTTGATAATTCAAAAACAAAATTCTTGTCTAATGTTAATAAAAGTCGTTTCTATATGTTATGTGAATTTAATTCTATCGAATTTATTCATTGCGCAGTAAATTGAAGAATTGATAGATTAAATAATAAGTAGCCCATAAACAATGAAGGTTTTCTTATTTTCTCTAGTTTTTCTTAGATTCGAATTGAAATTTTTTCAAAACATTCAGCATTTAATTGTCTACAAAACCATATACAAACGAATGTCATAGGGATAAAAACAAAAAAAAACTGATTGTAGTAATACTACGCACATGCAACATTAACAATTTTCAAATACAAAATGCAATTGCCCTTATTTATGTGTTTTTATGTTGAAATATATAGACAAATTGTATTATCCAGTGTTTAGAGTTTTAAAAGGTTTATTATATTATCATGTTCAACAATTTTCATAATGAAACTTTATTACACAAAATAAAGGTTAAATAAGCTTTATTTATTTCGAACAGAAAAATCGTATTCTTTTAATTGGACAAAGAGTCACGCTTATTTAACGCTTATTTCATGTAATAAAGTGTCATTATCAAAATTCTTGGACATAGTAATATGATAGACCTTTTGAAACTCTACAAAATTAATAGTCGAATTTATCTATGCAGTTCGACATGAAAATACATAAATAAGAACAACTGTATTGTGGAGTTGAAAACTATTGATATTGCATGTTCGTAGTATTACTATAATAACTCTTTTACATCTATTCTTGTGATACTCATTTGAATATATATGATTTTGTATAGAATCAAGCGCTGAGTTTTCTTTTTGAAAAAAATTCAGTTCGAATGTATGAAAACTAAAGAAGATATTAAGAAAATACGGAGACTCTTAGTCTTTATGGGCCATCCATCACATTGAAATGTTTTTTAAATGTCTCAGATATTTTCATCAATTTGCGACTATATCGTACATTGAATAATCTATCTAGTAGACGAAATGGTCATTTCTTTTTTTTAATTTCATATATATGATGTTTTGATTTCCTTTTGTTGTATTTTTATAACTTGTTCAATTAAATATTTTCTTTTGAGTACATTTTTGCACACGACCTTGACAATTTTTCCTTGATATTTTTATACAAAGGCATTGATTATCGTATTCACAAAAATTTTCGATACAAAAAAGAAAGGCCACATATAAATTTCTTTTAAATGCATGTAATGTTTCAGAAGAAATTACCTCAAGAGAATATACTTTACACTTACATTAATTATTCTAACATCATAATTTTTACTAGATAAAATCAGGATACCTATCGGAAACAAATAGTAAATGTTTACTTTTAATGATGACATTAACTGTACGCTATTTTAAACACATATTTTTTCTTGAATGTTGTTTGTTTACACTATCAACAATCTATAGATTTGTATTGCATGATAAAAAAAAGTTCTATTTATGAAAAATGAATGTATCGATGTGATCTTTTTGAATAGAGAATTCTTTTTTTGTTTTTTTTTTTCTATTAAAAATGAAAATATATTGATGTTATAATTAAATATATTGGCATTGTTTTTACACAATTGGCTTTGAATGAAATGCAAAAAAGAAAAAAAACGTGCAAAGAAAAAAATTCAAAAGAAAAATGAAGCACATTATCATCATCATCATGTATTAAGCATATTTATTGTTTATAATCGTGGTGTTTCATAGTGTTCTTCAAAAAAAATGGTGTTTTTTGTATTATTTGATATCACTTGTATTCGCTTTTAACAATTATATATAGTATTTAGTTTAATTAGCAGAGCGCAGTGCTCGCCGAAGTCCAAGAAATCCATAAATGCATAGGATTCCTATAAGTAGAGCTTGACTAAAAATCATTTGTTCAACTCCACTTCCTAAACCATTGGCCTGTTTTACTGCATCTACCCACTTTCCTAAAAAAAACACAAAAACAAATTTTAAACAAAAATAAACAATTGTTTTTTTACTCGTATAAACAGCCAAGGCAATTGTTGTGGCAAAGAGACCCCAAATAGCAGCAATAATCAAACAGCATGCACAACAGGCAAGACCACCTACTGGACCGAGAGCAGCGGCTAAAGGATTCGCCATTATTGAGTGTTTAGATTATACACCCGTTTGTCTATAAGAATAATGAACAAAAAAAAAAATATATATTTACAAATAATAGTTGTCTAAACAATATTATTGATATGAAAAGATCAAATTTGTTTATCTTCTTCTTCTCCCTGTTTTTGCATTCCTAGTTCTCTCTCTAACACGCAAACGAAGATCGATAAGAGAAGGGAAGAGAGAAGAAAAAAAAGAGAAACTGCGTACAAAAAAATAAGCTTGTTTTCATGCTATCTACCCACCTCTACAAAAAAGAAAAACCTTCATACTCTCTCTGAATACACTCATCTAGACGTAGGCAATGCAGGTTTCTCTCTCTCTTTCTCTTTTGGTTTTTTTGTGTTAGGCATATCTATCGACTGAAGGTGATATATTACATAGGAAGCTGCTCTACCTCTTAATGAATGCTTTCGAATCAATGCAAAAAAAAAGTCAAGATGAGGCTCTTTTTTTCGTTAATGTGCGCATTCAACCATGAATAAAGATAACTAACAGCCCCATAAAAGATAGAAAAAAAAGTGGGAAGAAAAAAAAAGAAAAAAACACCACTAACAGACAAATTGATACAAGCCTAAAGAAAGAAATGTATATTGTGCAGAAACCATGCATGACAAAATGATATGAATAACATTGATGATGTTAAAAAAGGAAGAGTAGAAAGAAAATGCTAAAAGTCCAAAAGTACAAACAAATAAAGAACAGATTTTCGCTTAAACGCATGAATTTATAATCTAGTTTAGAACAATGATTTCTTTGTACTATTAATTCAAGGTCATTCTGTTGATCATAATGATGCGCTAATGATATGTCTTTTAGCTTCGATTAAATTTACATTCGTTTCACACAATAAATGACGTCTGATTTTTTATTTAAATATTTCTGGTGATTTCAAGATAAAAAAAAAGAAAAACAAAAAAAAATTAGATAAATAAAAAGCAAAAAGAAAACACTGAACATCGCCACGTTTGCTATCGAATTATATAAATTTATGTTATTATAGATAGTGTTTTGTCGTCGTTATCGTCATCGTCGTCATTATGTTTTTTGCTGCTTTAGAAAAAAAAAAGTTCAACCGCGCGCGAGTTACAAAATATTATGTCAAAGAAAAATAGGAAAAATTCGTTGTGTTGCGAAAGAAGAAAAAAAAATTTATGAACAAAAAAAAATAAAACCATTTATTGTGTGTATTTATGTATGTGTGTGTATGTGTGTATATAGTGAAGAAATAACACCATAAATATAGAAGAGACCAAATGGTCGTTGGTTGATTTTTTTTTGTTTATGAGCGACGCATGAACGTGTATAAGAACGAACATACGAGCAATACAAGAAGAAGCAATTGAGGAGCAAGAAGTTCGCCGGCACCGTTTAAGCCATTACGATTCTTATAATCACGTAACCATCGACCTTGAAATGAGAGGAACAAATTGAAATTTAATGATATGAAAAATATAATTTAAAACACAAATAAACTTACTGATGAAGACAGTCAACGGAATAGCCGTGATGAAAAGACCCCAAATGCCGATGGTATTCAGGCAGCATAAACATCCAGTAAGACCACCAATAGGTCCAAGAATAGCAGCAAGAAGACCAGCACCGCCAGGTGCTCGTCCAGCTGGTACTACTGGTGGTGGTAATCGGGGTCGATAAGCATAACGGCTGCTTGGCCGACGATAACTTGAACGGTAGACACGTCGAGATGAAGCACCAGGTATATATGCTACCGAAATAAAATAAACGAAAATTTCATAAAATAAAAAAAGATTAACACAGAAATTTTACACACCTGCTCGTGATCCTGAATAGCCGCCTCGTCCTGGATACATAGTTGTAGATCAGCAGGCGGTTTCTCTTATTTTTCTAAAACAGGCTAAAATATCATGTAAACAATCATGCAAAAAAAAAGAGCTCAATGATAATACTGATCATCAATAACAAACAACAACTGGACTCATGAAGTAAAAAAAGAAAGAGAATAGAAGAAAAAGAGAGAAATACAAAAAGCCTTTTCTACCTTGATGTGCTTCAATAAGGATGTTTTAATTTTTTGCCATCTCTTCTTCTCTCTATCGTCCTCTGTACCCCATTGCTGTCTCTGTCTCTGTCTCTGTTTCTGTCTCTGTCTCTCTCTCTTTGCTGCCCGATTGAATGTAAGCTAATGCTTCGGCGTGCATCGATGTATCGTATGGGCAAGTCATAAAAAAAGTGCTACAGAGAGAGGAAAAGAAAAATAGACAACGAAATATACAATGCCTAAAAGAGGAGAGAAGAGAACGCGTCACACGCCAGCAAGCAGCACAATGATAGTGACGATGATGATATTTGCTAACTGCCAACGATATACTCATAAATAAAACCATGACTTGGTCGTTTTCATTTGTCAGGAATAGTGAGACAAACATACATATACATGAGTGAGAATGCTTAGTCAATACATGTATAGCTACCTATCTGCGCGTATGAAATAAACAAGCGCAAGGTTAGAAAAATGAAAAAAAATCCGACAGAGATACATTAGAAAGGAGAATGACGTGCAAAACCGTGGGCATATACATCACTATCTTAACGCTTCATTGCATCCGTATTAGAAGGGTGTTTATGCATGTATATGTGTATTGATACGAAGACAAAAAAAAGGAATTAATTGTTATAGAAAACGGTTGAATTGCAGAACTACTTATAACTTGACAAAAGTTCTTTTATTTAAGAGAAAGAAAATAAGATAATAAAAAAAAGACATATGTGTATATGTATCATTCAAAGTTAACTTTTGGTACGATTGTTTGTTTGTGGTTTCTTTTGTGTTTGCACCGGTTTACGAACGCCACTATTGACTTTATTACCACGAACAGTAGTGACTCGTTGAGTTCTTGGAGAAGTAACTGGTGTTCGACGAATCGTTGATAAACGACGTTTTGTTGTAGGAATAGTTTGTCGGACTCGTTGTTTAAAAGCTTGTTGACTTCGGAGAGGAAAGTTGTTGTTGTAGAACATTAAATCACTGCCAGGAAACACTACACCAGGATAGCTATTAGGAATATTGCCTATAAAAATCGATCGAATAATTGTTAAAAGAAATTCATCTCATACAGATTCCACTGATTCCGTTACCGTTACCAGTTACAACATTGTTTCCATTTCCATTGGAAACACCGTTACCGTTACCAGTTACAACATTGTTTCCATTTCCATTGGAAACACCGTTACCGTTGCTATTTGGAATTCCGTTACCGTTTGCATTAATAAAACCGTTACCATTGCTATTAGGAATACCATTACCGTTTCCATTGATAAACCCGTTACCATTGCTATTTGGAATTCCGTTACCGTTTGCATTTACAAAACCGTTACCGTTGCTATTTGGAATTCCGTTACCGTTTGCATTAATAAAACCATTACCATTGCTATTAGGAATACCATTACCGTTTCCATTGATAAACCCGTTACCATTGCTATTTGGAATTCCGTTACCGTTTGCATTAACAAAACCGTTACCGTTACTATTTGGAATTCCGTTACCGTTTGCATTTACAAAACCGTTACCGTTGCTATTTGGAATGCCATTACCGTTTCCATTGATAAATCCGTTACCATTGCTATTTGGAATTCCGTTACCGTTTGCATTAACAAAACCGTTACCGTTACTATTTGGAATTCCGTTGCCGTTTGCATTTACAAAACCGTTACCGTTGCTATTTGGAATTCCGTTACCGTTTGCATTAGTGAAGACTAGAAATTTTAATAGATTCGAAATTCGATTTTATATTCAAATATCAAAAACAATTATAGTGTATACATATATATGAAGAAAAATGAGAACTTTTTACTTCAAGTATTTACCTCCACCATTTCCGTTGTTCACTGAAAAGATTTATATGAAGAGATTAAAGATTCTTGATAAATTTTAAAATACCCTTACCGATATTTTGGTTTGTTCCTGGAAAATCTTCTGAAATTAGGAAATTTATATGAATTTTAAAAGAAAGAAAAAAGTGAATGTATAATCGTTAGCACCTTCACCTGTACCAGATGGATATTCGCCATCAGTAAATTCACCTATTAAAACAAATACATAATCTTTCTTCAAAGAATAATTTAATCTAATCAACCTTCTCCAGGATAATCGGTGCCAGGTAGATTAGTAAACAATACACCTATGTTTTTTATTAGAAGAGACATTTATTTTAATATGTATTAACTAACCGTTTGTTGTGGTGATTGGTACTATTGATGAACTTTCAGGTCCTAGCACTATTCAATGAAAAATATAATAAAATATTCTTTTAAATGTCAAAATTTGAGGAAAACAAAATAAAGATTACTTACTAGTTGTTGTTTCTATAGCTGAAGTTCCAGCTTTCATAGACAAAAACAAATATTTGAGAAACAAATGATAATGAAATATATAATTACTTGTATTATTGTTTAATCCTCCGTTGTTAATAATTGGACAACATGGATAACAAGCAAAAACTGAAAGTGCATTAGCTACTTGTTCAGCCAATGAATCATAAATAGCACACATAGCCGATGCTGATGTTGGCATACATCTTGGGCAAATTTGCCGTAAACATGAAACCATTTCTTTATTGCAAATGTTACGTTCAAACATACATGAACTAAAACACATTCGATGGAGACATGTACATTCTTGATATTGTTTTGCATAACATCGAAGTGCTGCAAATGAACGTCCATGTCGTTCCCAAAACGGACATGAACCACTAGTACAAGAATTTTTTCCACGAACACTACGTAAATAAGCATAAGCTGATTTTTGTGCTGATGCTTTAGTTGAATTTCGTCCTGTTGTAGATATAACACGACGACGTGTTACTCTTGTATTTGCTGAATTGACCATAACAGTAACAAAACATAATAATAGTACTAAACTAATACGCATATTTGCGTAAAGATTCGTTCGTATTGATTAAAGAAATAGGATAGAGACTAATAAAATACAAAATGCCGATTTACTTGCAGTTATAGACGACGTTTATATGTCGACAAGTCGAGCTCTTCTCTCTCTCTCTGTCTTTTTTTCTCTCGATCTTATTAGGATTAAATATATACGTGAAAGAATGTCACTTTGTATGTATATTCACAAGAGAATGACAAACATTTGAAGAAAATAGAACTAAATCTTTGCCTTGACTTTTAATAGTAAAGTCATATTGAATAATGATCAAAAGTATATTATACACGTCTAGAATTGTTCATTAAATGATATAAGATGAATTATTTCCGTTAGCCTTGTAATTTTCAAATTTTTACATCTATACGTGTTCATTTATTGTTGAGAAAAAAGAAAAGACGTGTTCTAACACTATCTTTGAAGTAAAAGGTCGTTGTTGATCTTAACAGTAAAAATGAGAGGCGAAGACGAATTTCGACATAGAAGAAAATGAATAACGAGTTAAGCTGAATGATCAAAAATCAATAACAACGAAAAAAAAAAGAAAAAGAAGAATAATATCCTTGCACATATGAAAGAACTATCATCAATGACCGTGTCAAGGTCTTTTCTTTTCGAGTAATCGCCTACACAATTTTTCAAAGTAGGAATAATTTCATCTAATTGGAAAATCTGTTAAAGTCATGGATTTTCTACATTTATCAATAGTTTATTCGTTATAGATGATAATATTATTATTATTATTATTTAAAGCATAGATAAAAGAAATAATACTATGCATTTTATATAAATTTAATTTCTAAGAAGAAAATTTAGCATAGTTATTGATAGAATGATAATTACTGAAAAAGTACACAGAGACACTATTAAAGCTTTTTCGTCTAATTCTCCTACAATTTGTATATTCAGGTTAAGTATTCTGCAATAATGTATAAATATATTAATGATTATGTGGAGAATTTCGAACGTCCACATCTTAAGCAACGTGTTATTCTCATATTTTAAGACTAGTGATACATTATTTGTTAAAATAACAATTTCGAACTAGGATTTTATGTCAACAGAAAATTAGTACAACGTACACGAAAAGTCACACTCTTTTAGTATCGACATGATGGAATCGAATAGCTTCAGATTAGATAGTTCAAAATAGGTTTTATAACCTTCAATAGAGAAAATTCAGGTTGTCCTTCAGCTACTGTTCAAGTCGAAACAATCAATAATAATTCCCCATGCACACACGCATTAAAGAAGACACCATGAACATAATTTGTCTATCAATTATTTTTATTTGTTTAGAGTTCTACAGAGTTTCATGCTTGAGAAATGCATTGTTAGCTCATTGATGACTGAAAATAATTTCATGTTGAATCATGTCGTCATTCACAGAAGAGATTTAGACAGATCAGTTCCAATCTTGTATTGCGACATTGTCACTAATGATCGATTATAGTTATATCATTAGAATAGAGAATAAGAAATGTAGTCGACGATTCGAATATTATAAAATAACCCACGAGAACAGTCAAAGCTCATCAAAACAAAAGTTCAGACAAATGCATTGCGCTATTTTTACTGTTAGTTTTTAAGTTGCATTAAAAGAGCAATAAAACAATAGCATTCGATGTCGCCGCTTTCACTATTACCGTTCAAAGTCATATCGAAGTACATGTTGACCAAGCATTTCTGTAGATTTAAGTCGATGTGAGTCATTTCTGCCGTTAAAACTGAAATATCATCTGTACAAAAGTAGACTCAATGACAGCAACCGTATGACTATCTCTCAAAAAATTATCTCAAAATCTGTCCCCATGACCTATTTTAATCTAATGCATCAGTACATTGTTGATAAGAAATGAAACTTTGGATAAGAACACAAGAATCAACCTTTAGCTTTTTCTTCATTGAGTGAGTGAAAAAGAGATTTTGTGTCATGCTCCTTGTATATCGAACTTGTAGCAACAATAGATATCGGACAAACAGAGTTCGGATTAAGTTGACTAATATGACGCTAAAAAAAGTAGTTGTGTGACGTTTGAACATTTTTCTTTGTAAAGGTTTTTTTTTCTCAATAGAGGAGAAGAAAATACGATACAATTCTTTTGAGTTTCAAGACTAGAAACATGAGACCGAAAAAAATTTCTTTTAAAAGTAATGTCTTCTGACACATTTTTATAAAATGTCATCAACAAAATGAATTCAAGCTATTTTATTTTTCGAAAAAACAATTATTGAATCTTTTTTTTGTGACTTGTATGTCATGTTTTCTTTTCTCTCTAAGACATTAAACAAATCGCCATTGTTGACCAAGATAAGTATTATCACGCCGATCTAAATTAACATGTATTTTATCAGTATGAGCAACTTGTAAAAACATATAATCCGAATGACCATATGGCACTGTTCGTGTTTTAATTCTAAAATAATCTTTTTCTCCCGTTGGAATAATATCCCAATGTTGTGTTTGATTATTATTGGATTGTTGTACTTCAATACTTGTTGTATTATGTTTATTAGTTATACCAAGTGCTTTTCCTTGAGGTTGAACGATTAATTTAAAATAACCATTATCAACTTTTTCTAAATGAAGTGCAATTTGAACAATTTCATGTAAACGATTAACTGCACTATAGCGATGAGTTGATTTAAAATCTAATTGATGATCTAAAAGAATTTCGAAATAATTTATGATAGAAAAAATAATAAAGGAAAATAGAAAGCGTACGTAGAACAGCATTATGACATGATCGATAGCATTCTTCACTTGTTTCAAATCTATTTCGATTACCATACAAGCCACCATAAATAAATTTTGTGCATGTTCTATTACTTGCTTGCCAAGCATAAACTTCAAAATATGCACGACCCACCCCAGTATCAGGTCGTTCAAAACAATCGAAATGGGCTATATCTGTTTTTGTAATAGTTTCAATGAAATGATCAATTACTCAATTAAGTACTCACTCGAATATACACCTGACAAACCGAGCAATGAAACAAAAACTATGATTAAAGTCGATATCATCTTGTTGCTATTCTTTTTATTATTATTAAAATTCTTATTTAAAAGCAATTTTTTTTCTCTCACAACATTCGTATTTATTGTTCTAGTTTTGCTGATGAGATTATTAACCATCTGTTCTTTGTACTTTAATCTTTGGTTTTTTTTTTATTGTTTTTATAACATTCGATATCTTTTGAAATGCAGTGAACTGTTTTTTTTGTTTTCTTATCAGTTGTTTTTAGGATTAACGTCGTCCAGGCATCGCCCAAAGACCTTGTAAATTGTGTTCATCTAGTGAATTCGCTGATTCAGATAGAAATTTTTTCTTTCGTTGTTCAGTACCAAGACGATATATTCTACGGTAACTTTTTTTCGGTTTGTATGTTACTGGAAGATATTGTTCAAGTAGATCACTTTCAATCCTGTTGTTGTTATTAGCATTGTCAATTTTATCCAATCCTTCAAAATCACTCAAGTACAGTGATGGGCCTGACCATATACCGGGTACATATCGATGTTGTGCCCAACATGAGGCAAGCACCTAACAAAAAATAAATGATATTAATGCTACTGAAATTATGATTAATAAAGATGTTACGACTCATGGAAAGCCGTTCTTTATAGAATCAACTAACTTGTATAAGTAGCAAAAGAGCAATAATTGATTTGTAATACGGCATTGAAGTAAAAACCGGTATAAGTGTTGAGATGACTATGCATTTTCTCTGGTGAATGTACGTATTAATAAATACTCTGCACGATGTGACGTCAAAAAAAAAATAACGGTCAATAATTTCACTCTCTCCCCCGCGTTTATAAGTGTAGTTTATAGAGAAAAAATTTAAGGAATATCAAATAGCATTGTCTATTATGCCGCAAGTGCACTCTGTTTTTACCGTTAACGTCTTAAAATGTAAAATACAAACGGCAAAAAACAATTATCATTTATTCACCTTCATTTCGTTCGTTTGTAATACTTCATTGAACTAAATTACCATTAACGTTTTATTTCTTGGGGTAAAAGCAATTGTACATAAAAATAAATCGATTGAAAAAAATGAATGCCTAAATACAATTCTTGGGCGTAACTAATATTGTCACAAAACATAAAATCTTTTTAGTGATTGTAACTATTCTTAGACTTTATGAATACTACTTTATCGAGTTATGATATTATTTTTTTTACGAATTAGACGGATTTACTTCAGCTTTATATCGTGAAGTATAAATGAAAAACAAATTCCATCGTACCGTATATGAGCCTTAAAGGATTATATTGAATCATTTAAATATTTTATTCTATTAACTAATCATAAATTGAGAAGGTAAGAAAAAAGGAGATATTATCTTGAAAAAGAACAGCTAATGACGAGTGAGTATCGCATACTGTGATATAACACTTGAACTTCAAGTTTTTTTTAAATTCCTTTAAAACGATTCACTCAGAACCAATAAGCGGATTCCAATCTATGTATTAATCTCCTCTCGTCTTGCGCAGAATAAAAGAGCATAGCTTTCTATTAATGTCCTGCACGGGCACGATTTTTTGCATCCTAACCTGGACCAAAACCAATCAACATTCAGCAAGTACTTTTACTTTATATGAAATAGTATACTATTTAGCTTCTTCTATAAACAGCAACAAAAATGGAGATCATCTCAACTTTCACAAAAAGACAATGGAATCAAGTGATTCCGGATTCATTAAGTATACGTTTGCTTGTTCTTGATGAAGCTGGAATGGAATGCAGTGCTGATGCCAAACATCATACTTGCGAATACATATATAAATTTATTTTTCTGTTAAGATAATATATGTTCACCTTTTTCATAGTTCATTTCTCTCTCTCCATATATTGGATTACTTTGTCATATGGTTCATCATCAGCCGTAGATGAATTTTCATTAAAAACTAATCCTTTTTTTATATTCAAATAGGCATTTTTAGCAACTAAGTGCCAGAAAGTTAGAGTTTTTACTATAGGAAAAAGACTTTTTACTATACAGAAAAATAGTAATTTCAATTACAAAAAATCGGTTTTTACTTCTAAACGGGGCTTGTAAGTGCTAAACCTTCCAAACATGCTGGATTTCCACAGAAATATTTTTAGAAAACCTATAACTTTCTCTTAGAACTTGTGAAGCTTTTCTTGTGATCGAACTTCTATTATGAGCGGAGACTTATTTCTAAAATGCTTAGAAAACACAAGACATTAAGTACAATGATATCATAAGTAATTTAGCAGTGAACAGTGCTTAGCCCAGTATGATCAGAAAAGATGGAATGTTTTTCACGGTCATTTTTAAAGATTAAACTCAAAGTCAAATAGTAGGATACTTGTCAGAGACGTGCACCGCACCCAAAAATTAAGGTGAGGACGGCAAAAAAGATGACGTAAGATGTAAAACGGTGACGACGGCGGTCACCGTCCCAAAAGCCTCTTCGGGGAGCGAAACGACCACTCCGCACCTCCGTGCTGTGGTCCGACGGCCGTTCACTCGATATCCATTGGGTGTGGACCTTATTATATATATTTGCTCAAGATAGGAATTTGCACGTTATAATTGCTGCAGTGAGCACAAGATGATCATTATGAGATACTAGATTTAAAAGAAGAAATGCTCAAATAAATTTTCATTATCGAGTTTCACATATTTCCTTGTTTATCATCAAAAATAATATACGGTTCAAAATCATTTATTCAAATATGAAAAAAGCAATAAAAAACAGCACTCATATTCAATGCGATCTTTCACCTATGCAACTTGTCGAGCTGCTTTTTCATCTGTGTTGTCTTGCTTTTCAAATAACAATCGGACATGCGTTGATGTTGACGTACGCCTTCTGAATTCACAGATGACACTTCAAAATTGATCCTGTATCCGCATCATTATACATTCGAGATTTTTTTAAGCGATTTCTTAAATATTTTAATACTATTTTTGGGCGAAATTTATCTAGAAAATAACATAGATAAATACTTCTTATTATTTATTAATATAGACAACGTGTGATGGGCAATATTAGTGAAAGTATCAAATGAATAAATAACACCGAGATTGAATTTCTAATGGTGTGATTTATCAACCAATACATTCGCAATCGATGTTAAGCTAGCACGACGAGTAGCTACCACGACGAATTTAGGTGAGCTTGGAATCTGTAACGCTGGATGCTGTTGAGGCGGAAGTTGAGTGAAGATGCTCGGTGATGTGTACCCAAGCATGCACACTCAGATCCCGTCCCCAAAAGTCCAAGTATTTAGGATTTTAGATTTACCTAAATCCGTCGTGGTAGCTACTCGTCGTGCTAGCTTCACATCGATACATTCGCATACTAAAGAGATACCAAAGAGCTAGAGATATTACAGTGCTAAGAGAAAGGATAGAAATTCGATCCAAATAGAATTATAAACCATACTAGAGAAATTGAAAATCAAAGTAAACAATGAATGTATCTAAGTAGTTATTGTAACGATAAGAGGGCCAAAAAGAACTTGTAAAGGCACAACCTGGAATAATTCTCTAAACCTTAGTCGGAAATAAAAATTTCGAAAATAAAAATGGTACTAATTTCGAAGAGCAACTATGTCGAAAACCGTAGTACATGAAAGCATGAATCTTCAGCACCCACACCCACACCTACACCTTTGCACCCTCACCTTCACCCACACTTGTGTTTTCGATATTTTTACTTTTGACCAACGTTGCATTAACCGCTTGGAACATCTGTTGTGAGCTAAGATCTTGTTAGAATTAAAAGTCACTAGTAATAAAATCTAAAAAAAGATATTTTACTTCTTTTGCAACAATGAATACTCAGTCGATGTTTCTTTTGCTTTGATTTAAGAGAAACGGATATAACTGTTGAAGGAGATCATTAAAATTGACTTGTCTTTACCGTTTCAAAGTCCACCAATTTTTATTGCTAACATGATCAAACGGCAGTCACGCGGAGCGGCTATCTCCGTGCCGCACTTTGCACCTTCGCGGGCGGTGCGCGTCTCTGGTACTTAGTAAACACTTTTCTAATACTTGAATTAGAGAATTATTTTGTAATAATTGGTATTTATTTTGAAATCAAGTAAATAAATGATCAATCAGCATGCATTGTATGATGTTTGAGACGCATCGATTTTCATTGATGTTCCATAAGAATTCATACTTATGTGGTTCAATTCCTTCATACAAAAATATACATTGACTTTTTCACTTCTCATGAATAACAGCGTCTAAAATATTTTTACAATAGGCATTCATAATTGGTAATTCTACACGACATCTACTATCCTCATCCTCATGCAAGTTGAATTGAGCAGAATAAATACTGTGCATGGGTGAGGAAGATTCGTTTTGTGTACGGTACATGATTGTGCCTTAAAAATCTCATTGTTACTCAATTGTTGAAGTTATATTTCAGAAATTAAAGTTATTATTGGCAATGATATTTGTTTGTATCTTCAGTTGAGATACATACAATTTTGAAAAACTTATAAAAGAAATTTCAAATTGACTGATTGAGTATCATATAAGATAACGATAAATTTTAGAGACGATAAACTATCCAGTTAATTATCTATTTCTCTTGAGACAAATATTACTATGCAAAAATGGTAGTTTTAAAGTAATGAAATACAAAAGCTGCGGACTTTTTGGGATAAAATATCGATCAAATTTTTATGTCAATACTATATTCCAAAGTATTACCACATTAGATTTGAAGACCAAAATCTTTTGAGTAAAAAGAATTTTGAAAAATAGTGTACATAAAAGAAAATTGTCCAACTTCTACGCAGTAAATGTTCATGACATAGGATAATGTTCGCCAACGTTAAATATTAAAATTATTATTTCCGTAGTCTAAGTTTGATATTAAAAACGCTTTCAATGCGAACATGGCTATTGCACTTTTTTGACAACTTGCTTTGAATAAGCATATAATTTTAGTTATAAAAAAATTTAAAAAGAAAACAATCGAATGACGAAAATGTTCATAAGTAAGACTATAAGACCTTTTTCCA